CCCCCCCCCAAATCGCTCGCCGCACAGCTGCGCATACGCATGTGGCCGCGCCCCCAGGGCTTCGGCGTCACCGCCTCGCCCCTGGTGCAGTCGCTGTGCTCCCTGGTCGGCATCCAGAACGTCACCGTCAAGCTTAACGGGCGCCGCCGCAACGTCGACAACGTCGTCAAGGCGTGGCTGCACGCGGTCACCAACCAGAGCCTGCCGCACGACGGCGTTGAGGGCAGCGGCGTGTACGTGCGCGAGGTGTACCACCGGGCCAAGCTGCCCCTCGGGCTGAAGCGCGGCGTGGACGTGTAACGCCGCGGCTGGTGACGGTGGCGGGCGGCCCCGGACCTGCGGGTGCGGGGGCGCCTTGCACGAGTGGAGTGCGTGCGGCGACGGAGCAGGACGGCGTGGCTGCAGGAAGCAGTGGATTGATATGGTGGAGGCTCGGCCATCTGTGCGCCCTATGCGCAGGTGTACGCATGCGCTGCAGTAAAAGCACCCATCCATGGTGTTGGGAGGGGGGGGTGGCAGGCGGATGCCGGCGTCCTGACAGCAGTGCTTCATATCGATTGGCCCTTGGCTGGACCAGCTGCACAGTTGTCACTTGCACAGATCCTTTGATGTGGAATGCCGCCCAGCAAAAGCAGCACGTCACTCAAATATGCCCAGCAGAGTCATTATCAGAACTGGCCGTTGCATTCCCCAAGTATCCTTTCGCAATGTGCTCAAGGTGGTGGCAGTGCGCAAACTTGGTGTATCAGATCTCAATGTCAGAGCTTTCTATTGCTGGTGATACCCTGTTGAGGCAGTGCAATCGCACCCGCACCAGCATGAAGTGTGCCTTCTGTGCCAGTCAAAGTGGCGGTCAACTTGTTCTGGTCCAATGGAGCCAATACGTCTTCCATGTCACCACAACATGTCCATGTGCATCGAAAACTCTATGCCATTACACAAAGGTGTCGCCAAGCGCGGTGCAAGCTGCTGCGGTGCGGCAAAGATCACCAGTGACCCAACAGTCGGTCCTGAAGAGCAAAGTCGTCACGCATATCGTCCTTTTTGGCGGAGCGGCTGTTTGGACTTATATCCAGCCGTGCGTGGTGCGCTCGCTGCGGTGGTGCCGTATGCAGGCAGCGGGCTTGGCGCAGGCTGTGGTCCGCGTGCGAGTGCTCAAGGGAATAAAATAGAGCTTATAAACGCGTTGGAAGAGCCATTGGGCGGTCGCAGCTTCTCCAGCGGTGATGCCGCACATTGTGCAGCACTGAATGGCACACGGTATGTTGCTGCCCGCAGGCCAACAGCATGACGCCTGTGCCGGAGCTCGCAGCCAAGAAGGCCAAGCGCGAGGAGGCCTGGGCCACGCAGAAGGCAGCGGACGCCTTGGAGGCTCGCAAGAAGGCCAAGGAAACAAGGCGGGTTATCTTCAAGAAGGCTGCTCAGTATGTTAGCGAGTTCAGGCAGCAGGTGAGCCTGGCCAAGCGCTGTGATGCAGTGGCGTCGTGCGCAGCGCGCGTCGCGCGGTCGCGCAGCGCGCAAGCACGTGCAGTGCAACGGGGAGGGGGCGCGGCCTGCGCGCTGCTAAGGACACGAGGGGAATGAGAACGTGCCCGCCGCCACGCTTGCGGCCGCAGGAGAAGGACCTGATCCGCCTGAAGCGCGAGGCCAAGGCGGCTAAGGGCTTCTACGTGGAGCCCGAGGCGAAGCTGGCGTTTGTGATCCGCATCAGGGGCCTCAACAAGATCCACCCCAAGGTGCGAAGGGCAGCACGGCACCGCGCCACGGCGGCTGCGGGTTGCCGCGGCGCCGCACACCCGCGTGGCGCGCCGCGGCGCCGCCAGACAGCGGAGGCGGCCAGGGGCAGCAGCTGCGGCTGCAGACGGCGCGTGCCGTACCGCGGCGGCAGCAGCCGCAGCAGCACGTACCGGTCAAGGAAAATGGGGCGACGCAGCTGTGGAGGCTCGAGTGAACAGCGAATTCGCACCGCAACCGCTCTGCGCCGGACGGCCTCAGCTGCGATGGTTCGTCCGCGCAGTGCCACGGCGCCTGGCCTTTACCAACACGCGTTCCTCTGCTTTTGGAACGCGGTTTCCGCTTTGTGCAGACCAAGAAGATCCTGCAGCTGCTGCGGCTCCGCCAGATTGGCAACGCCGTGTTCGTGCGGGTGCGCTGCGGGCGGGAGTGGTGACGTCTGGGCGAGGCCAGGCGGCGAGGCGCGGGGCGGCCGGGAGGGCAGCTTGACACCAGTTCAGCCTGCGCCGTGCACTCTGCTGGCAGGCGGGGCCACCGATTGCGGTATTGCGGGCGTCAGCGGTGGCCAGGGTGGGGTCTACGCAGCAACGCCTGCGGCCGCAGCGGAATGGCGCTGCCCGCGGTGATGGTGCTGTCGTCCTTGAGAGCCGTCGGCTTGCTGTGGCAAGGCAGCAGCAGAGGCCATCCTACGAGCACGGCAGCAGCCGAGCCATCCACACGTCTGCCCAACACAACAGCGGACTTCCGTGCATTGATGCAGCAGGGTTGCACAGTTTGTAAGGCCTGATCCAGCGCCTCCGCTTTCCCCCTCTGTTGACGCACTCCTCCCAAACCTCCCGTTTGGACTCCCCCCTCTCCACCCCGCGAGCAGATCAACAAGGCCACCCAGGGCCTGCTGACGCGCGTGGAGCCCTACATTGCGTACGGCTACCCCAACCTGAAGAGCGTGAGGGAGCTGGTGCTGAAGCGCGGGTACGCCAAGGTCAAGGGCAACCGCCTGCCGCTGACCGACAACAAGATCATCGAGGAGGTGCGGGGCTCGCGCGCATGGGGGCAAGCAAGGGAGCCAGTGCTTACACGTGTGTGTATGAGTGTGTGTTTGTATGTGTGCGTGTTCATGCTCTTGTATGTGCATGCGTGCGTGCGTGCGTGCGTGCGTGCGTGTGTGCGTGTGTGTTTTGCGCTTACCTGCTAGGCACGTCTGCTGTGTCTTTGCTGCGCTTGCAAAGGTGTGGTCCGTGATCGAGTAATTTGAGGCATCCAGGTGTTTGCTCCCGCCCTCAGCCCGCTCTGGAAGCACGCCCGGCGCCTTGCATGCTACCAACTCTTGCCTGCGTGCCCGCGTCCTTGCCCACCCCCACATCAAACACCCCCGACTTGTGCCCTTCCTCTCTCCGGCCCCACACGCAAAAATTTATCATCCGACCGCAGAACCTGGGCAAGCACGGCATCATCTGCGTGGAGGACCTCATCCACGAGATCTACACCGTGGGCCCCGCCTTCAAGCAGGCCACCAACTTCCTCTGGCCCTTCAAGCTCAGCAGCGCGCGCGGCGGCCTGCCCAAGAAGAGGGTGCACTACGTGGAGGGCGGCCAGGCGGGCAACCGGGAGGGCAAGATCAACAACCTGGTCCGGCTGATGAACTAGGCGGTCCTTATGGGGGTGTAACAGCCCTGCTTGCTCAGTGTCAGGAACCCAGAGGCGATACTGTGTTTGCACCAAACGAAGTTTGATTGATCGTGTACATGAACAGGACCCGCATTGCGCAAAGACACTTGAAATACTTGGCAGCTTCAGATTGCGGCAGGGCTTGCTGCAAGCAAAATGCAGCTCAACATGTGCGAGACTTCAGGCCGGGCAGGCTGGCTCAGCAGCTGGTCGCATCACCCCAGAACCCCACGTCAAAACGTTCACGTCTCCTTGCCTTTTTTCTTGCCACGGAGCAGTCCGATCAATGCAAGACTCCCTGCGCTGCAGCCGCAGCACAGTTTGAGAATGCCCACAGTACTGCTAGCATGCCAGATCAAAGTTATGTTGCTTCCGCCTGTCTCCAAATTGCAAGCCGCCCGCGCGCGCTCAGAGACCTGCAGCTGCCTCACTCGGCTTTGAGGCCATTGTACAGTCCCCTGTGGGACATGAGCAAACCCCTGAGGGGGGCACATGATAGAAGGCTTGATGATGTGATAATCGCCAGGGAATAACTGAATCGCATACAATTTTGTGGTTGATGCATCAACCTTGCCTTAAAAAATGCCCGCTCATCCAAAGCCCAATTAAGCCTGAGCCCATGTGGACATTACAAGGACAGGTGCAACAACATGAACCGCAATTGGATGGGTTTGGATGCTGCCAGAGGTGGAAGGCAAGAGCAGTTGCCCCTTATGACAGGTGACCCAAATCGCTGCCGTCGCCGCACCAGATTAATCATTTTTGGCCTACCTTGCGGACTTCCCTTCGTGTGCCAGCATTTGAAAGCTCCTCGAAATCTGATGGAGTGGTTGATTTGCTGCAAGAAGGTTGCACACATGTCTGCAGATCTGCAGTACGCAAGCCGTTGGCTGCTTGTATAATACACACCATGCTCATGCCCCGCCCAAAGAAGAAGGTTCCAAAACATGGCTAATGCCATGGTGCCGTTAGACAGGTCTGGTTGAATGGTACAAGCGAAATGGGGCGGGCATTTGAGCGGCGCCCGGACGAGCGCGCAAAGTCAACAAATTCTCGTAGAATAATAGAAGCACACCTCAACTACCTTGGAGTCGTAGTCAGCCGTCACTGGTGCACAGGGGGCTTGAAGTGACAGATGTGCGACGCCAGGCTCATTGTCAGCAGAGTGATCAAATCATGAGCGGTATCCCTGCCCATACCCGTTCCACCGAGACCCGTACCACAACTTACAGACATGGATAATTATATCCGAGTTTTGGGTAGTTCGTTTCCTGCGGTGTCGCACAGATCACTGATTTCGCATGATCTAGTACACGATTTCAATGATGCGCAATGTCGCCAAAATAGGGGTCCACGACATGGTTCAACCTATCGCACAAACCCACCCAACAACCAGTTTTGTGCAAGAAGTCCCTGGCAGTACAGTTCAACAGCGCACTCTTGGTGCACCCCAGTCTCAGCTCATTACGATAGCAGGCATCAACATATGTAAGGGGTTTTTAGACTTGGTGCCCAGTGCAAAAAGAATTACAAGGCTTCGCCATGTCGTGGCGCTGACTCGCACGAGTTTCCCGCCCCCCTCAGCATATTGCCATGGCGCGCCAACAGGTGTGGGTGCAGATGACAATACAATTGTCTTGGGTTGGAGCAATTCTTCGAGCCAACACTGATAGTACAGCCCGGCATGACTTTATTGGCCAGGTTGTTGCCAGGATGTGGATGGGGAAAGACAAAGTAAACTCATGAGACGGGTGCTGGCAAGGTCATGAGCCTTCATGGGACTGTGGCCCGCTCCTTCCTGATAGCAGATCTAATTTTCCAGGGGCGAATTGATCCTCAACACCTGGTGCACATCTCTGGTGCAGAATTCGTGTGTCTGGTGCAAACCTTGACGGCCCTAATGTTGAGGGCGTGTTGGAGGTTTTTCATAGCCTTGACGACTCTACTACCTGCAAAGCTTAGGTAGTCGCACTTGACAGAACGCAGCATGTCGACCCTGGGGCAAGCTCACTTGGAAGAGAACCGCGAAGCGCAGTGCTTGGAAGGCCCACAACGCACACCGTAGGCAGACCTGTGTGGTGCTTTTGAACATGGTCCAAACGCCAACAGTCCGCTTGTTCATGATGAAGCACGTCATCAAAACCATGCAGTTGATCAATTGCAGCTTGGAAGACCGCGATGCACGAGTGATTAGGCTTCAACACTAAACCCTCCAAAGCTCCCAGAAACCATGGACTTCATCGCCGCTGCTCGAATCAGCAGCTGCTGTTGCCAATCAAGGCAGCAGCTTATGTTGCTGTGCTGCGCACACCACCCTGTGAGGGCCCCCGCACGCACGTCGCACTCGCTTTCTTGATCTCATCACAAGTTTTTGCACTCATACCGTAGTCTTGCCTTTGACCGTCGCTTTGTGACCAGGGCCAACTGCTGGCCAGGTTCCCGCAAAACCAAGCCAAGAGTTTTGATTCCAGCAACGTTGACCCGGCAACGTCCACACTGCATACTGGCACGATCTGCTTGACAAATTGGGCCACAATGAACTCCTACAGCAAGCGGGTTGCACACACATAATGGTATACGGCACACAGGCTGATGACTGCTATTTCGTGAAGACGACTGCACGTTGCCGCGGGTGCAAGTGACCGGAACGTCCCTCTTGCATCTGAGCGGAATGCCACGGGTGACGCGCGTGTCCTTGATACTCACGGATATCTCCAAGCTCGGCGAGACGACGTTGCTATCCAGCGCTGAAGTCACAGCAAGAAAACACCGATCTGATCACGCCCACCTGCTTGCCATACATGGGCCCGCCAAGAAGGATTGGCTCACATGGCTTTCATCAAGTAGTGCCTCTACTAGCTGGCGCCGTAGTGGTCTTGGTGATATGGGGGATTGTTGGCCAAACTGGAACTTCCCCACAGGCAGAGCTGCTGGAGAAGGTTGCCGACCTATCTGCACAGAATGCCAAGCTTCGCGCCGCACTCAAAGATCAGCGGCGCCGTGCTGCAGAGTGAGTATAATACTGCTCGCTAGTGCGCTGGTACTGCCGGTGCTGCTGCTGCTGCTGCTGCCACTGTCGCTGCCGCTGCGGACGCCGCCCCTGCTGCTGCTGCTGCTTCTGCTGCTGCGGATGTCGCTGCAGATGCGGACGCCAGCGCCTTGAGCAGATGACTGTCACACCCATCGTCAACAGCCATCGCGACATGGCCCCACATCCAGTCAGCCTTCCCCAACACTCGGTCCCTCGTTGCAGGCAGGTCGATTCTGGTCCTGCAAAGCGCTTCGCCCAAAACAGTCTGATTCCGCTCAGCCGCGATGGTGAGTTCACTTGCAATCAGATACATCAGCCTGTACCATCTGTATGTGCTGACACCCCATGCACTTGCAGTGGCGGCGCGCAATGCGACATTGAACGGCGTGACACTGATGCTCCTGGCTGCCACCAACGACGAGTACGTGGGCTCATCCATCCTGCACAACGGGGGCCCGTTTGGGAGCGAAACCCTCAGCATGTTCCTGCAGCACATCAAGCCGGGGACCACGGTTGTGGATGCTGGCTGGTGAGTGGCTTGAGGTCGGCAGAGGGACTGCTGGAAGTGGTTGCGGCGGCTCACACGAGCGCGGCGGCCTCCAGCGACTGCTCAGTGCCGTCCTCCTGCTGTCCGGCGCGTTGTCAGGCAGGGCATTGCAGCCGCCTTCGCTTCCCCTGCCATGGGCGAGGCCGCGGCGGGCTTGACCTAATCACTGCAGCTGAGAGCTGTCGCAGCGCCGGCCCTCACCGCCGGCTTTTTTCTGTGGCCAGACGAACTGCCGTAGACGTGCCATGCACTGCAATAGCTGGGGAAGCGGCGATCCACTCGCAGCGCACCCAAGCAGCGCGCTGTCATCGCAGCCGCCGCTGTCGTTGGGACCGCCGATGCGCGGCGCTGCGCCAAGCGGCGGCACTTGAAGTTGTGTGGTGTGCGCCCGCCAGCAGCCAGTGGCCGCATTCTGCACACTCCGGACTGCCACAGCAGCGGCTCCCCATGCCTCAACGCCCCATCGCCCTGCATCCGCCGAACAACAACCACGCACATGCACACACACGTTGAGCAAGCAATCTCTATCTGCGCTGTCGCCCGTGCCACCACAGCAACTTGGGGTCGTACGCCGCCTTCTTTGCGGCAAAAGTCGGGCGTGGCGGCAAGGTGCACTGCTTCGAGCCGCAAAACAAGATGGCCCAGGTAGGGATCGAAGCAACCTGCAGTTTTCTTGGGGCGCTGGCTCCAACCCCCTCCTACTCTACTCCCTCACACGGGGCGCCCACACTCCTGCCTGCCTGCCTGCCTGTGCACGCAGCTGTCTGCCGCCAACGCTGTGGTAAACGGTTTCAGTGACATCATGACCGTGCACCACGTGGCGCTGTCGTTTGCACCCGGAGAGGTCCAGATGTCGGGCAAGTGAGCGCGTGGACTCGTTTGACTGGCGCAGCACGCGAGTGCACGCATGCACGCATCATGGCGCCTGGGCTCCTTCACCTGGCCTTGTGTTTTCTTTTAGCCTCCCTCCTCATGTGTGTACGCTTGGCTGCCTGGCCTGCACTTGCATCTTGCGGTGTGGCAGGCTGGTGGATGGCTCGCAGGAAGGCGCGAACATGGCGGACGCGGAGTCGCGCCACGCGCCCATCAACTACGGCGGCATGAACCTGGGAAAGGGTGGAGAGGTGGCGCAGGCGATCACCCTGGACTCGCTGGGCCTGACAGGCATCTCATTCATCAAAGTTGACGTCCAAGGCGCCGAGCAACTCACGCTCTTTGGAGCCCAGGCGAGCGGCCGGGCCTGGCCAGAGTGCCCTTGGCAGCGGGCGCCTGGCGAGGCTGCGCAGCGTTCGCGTGCGCCGCGGGCTGGCTGAGTCGGACAACAAAGGGCGCAATTGCGACGCGGGCGGGGTGACGCTCGCTGAGAGGCGTGCGGCTGGCATGAGCGTGTAGACGGATTGGTGCTAGTGTGCATGGGCACCAGCCATATGGCAGCTGCCGCCGCCAGGCGGCGTGGCAGCCAACGGTGCAGAGGCCCCCGATGTGCGTGTCTGAGCGCAACCGGTGTGCAGGCCGTTGACATGCCAATGCCAGCACTTCCCTGTGATGCGCGTGCCCCTCCCGCGTCCTGCTCAAGCCTCGTGCCTCCTTGCTGCTTCGCTGGGCCTCCTGTGTCTCACAGGAAACCATCAAGACAAACATGCCTGTCGTATCATTTGAGTACACGCCAGAACTTTTCAATGTCACCAAGGTGCGTGGGGTGGTGGCACTGGACAGCCTGGCCCTGGCAGTGGCCTGCCTGGCCGTGGCCATGTCCGCAGCACACTTCACACAAGCAGCCTTTGGATGACCCCCTCTCACAATAGACACACACACACACACACACACACATTACACACACACATGGCGATCTCTACTTTGTAACACACCACAGGAGATGATCGAAACCATGAAGATCCCTCAGACTGTAGGTGTACCCCTTGTCGCTCCACCCACGCGGTCATTGTGCGCACCCCGTTCACAGGAGTGACCGCCAGCTTGTTGCCAAACAGCCACGCATGTTTGTACCCTGACCTTTGCACCCAAATCCATGGCATGCAGGTGTTGCAATGGGACGTGATGAAGTTCTTTGCTGGACTGGGCTACACGAAACACAACATATTGGTGGAGACACTGATGCTCCCTCCAGGCTACAAGGGAGCCACAAAGTGAAGCGACACACTTACTGGGGTCAGCACAGGATGGGGCGTGTGCGCGGGCAAAGTGGCCTTGCTTTTTGACTCGAACTTGTGTGTTGTGGCTTTGGACTTGGTTTGTGAATCCCCCGGCTGCATCAAACCTGGAGTGCGACCATCGCTATGCAACCTCCGTTGTAACATGAAACAATTTGCTTAAAGCTGGCACGGATTTGAGAGGAACGGCATCAGTCCGTGGTACAGCGGGCGATCTGAAACGTGCTGTCATCAGCGCGCTGCCCAGGCAGGGGCATGACGAGGCCAAAGGCGGCACCAGCAGCAGCTGGTGCCGGTCCGGCATGATTATAGTAAGAACGCGCTGCCCTCAATCCGGCCTCCCCGAATATCGCAGTAGCGCTGAAGAGACCTGCTGTTCAGACTTCCATTGCCTTCACCTCCCCCAGCGGTGCCTTAGTTGGCGATAGCCCCAGGTGTTATGACAGTGACAAAGCCGTGGCAGTTCGGCGGCGACGCTGCGCAAGCTACCAGCAGCAGCGGACGCACAGGGGCCTGCTCCACGCCTGCAGGTGGCAGCGGCAATCGCGGCACACACGCCTTTCAGCAGCGCGTGGCGCGGCCCGCGCCACGGCGGAGTTGTCGGCCAGCGTTTTGCGGCGGCCCAACAGCAGGTCGCTTTTTTGGGGATACTGGACTGGCGCGCTGATATAGAGCACGCGGTGAACACGCAGTGCGCATGGTCAGTATGGTGTTCAGCCGGGGTGCTGGTGGTGCTGGCGCTGCCGCTTTGAATGAGTGGCCTTGAGGAGGCGGCGCCCCCATTGCCGCCGTATGGCGCCTACCAGGGGCGAGGCTGCTGGCAGGTGGCTGCTGCCCTGCATTGTTGCAGCACACTGTTGTCCCAGGACCCTGACGAGACTGCTGCTGGGGACATAGGAGAAGAGACTTCAAGGCACTGGCTACAGGGAGCCTAGCGGGGGGCACCTGGATGGGGGACGTGTGGGGGGCCGAAGTGAGCTTGGCCCCGGCCCCTGGGTCAGGCCACCTAATCTGGGGCTCAGCACCAACTGGTACGACTCTATGCGCTGTTACGGCACCTCGCCAATTCCGATCCACGGTGTTCATGCAAGCGTGAGCTGTCGCGTCGGCTGGGCCCGGTGTGCTAGTGCCGAGTGCATGAATCATCTGCGTCACCAGCAGCAGTCGGCAAGGCGCAGCGACGAGCTTTCACCCCAGCAGTGCCTGGCTGTAAGCGGTCGCACGGCCTTACCTATCACCCATATTCTCGTAATACAAGACTGATATGTGAATTTGCCGGTTTTTGGCGGATTCATAAGCACACAGTCTCAGGTACCGTAGCTGCCATCAACACGCAGTCTGGGAGGAACTTTGCAGAGTCGAGAATCTTACATCAGATTTTTTGCAATAGATGTGTGTGCCTCCTGCAAGGTCGGGCCCCAGCTGATACGTACGCCTCGATCGACACCCCCTCCCCCAGGGTCAGTCGGTCGTCAAGCAGTCATATCAAATTCAAGTCTGATTGCGCACACATCCTGAGGCACCTCGGTGGCAACAAGCTGTGGGGCTAGGGGTAGTCACCTCATCACCAGCGAGGCGCCCCACGACAGATGGGGCACTCCGGCAACCCCACTGCCGGCAGCGGCAAGGAAGGCCCGATGCCGTCGCAAAACCGTACGCCCGTGAAGCGCCTGCCCTCAAAGCCGGCCAACAGAAAGAAAGACGCCGGCGCCGCCGTGGCGCCCCAGGCCACGCCAGCTGTGCGGGGCGGTGGAGCAGCCAAGCCCCCCCGCTCTGGCCGCGCAGCTGATGCGAAGCAGGAGGGCAAAGAAAAGCTCTTGCAGGAGCTGCGCACGACCAACTACCGCCCCTGGACGCAGGAGGTGCGTTCGCGCTGCGGCTGGCGCCCACTGCTTAGGCGAGCACGCAGTTGTGTGGCCAAGCGGGTCAGCCCAGGCCCCCCCTTGCGAGTGCCGGGCGTTGCCTCAGCACACCCGAGGGGCTCGCCAAGCTGCGCTCACACCGCAGCAGAGAGCTGCCTGTTCACCCCTGGACTGCCCAATCATTCACGGCGACACCTACGCGGCACCGAAGCGGCGCCGCGCTCGCTTGCGCCCCCACGAATGTGACTGTCCAGCTGTGCACCCCCACGCCCTCAATCGTGCACACGCGCGCGCTGCAGGAAGACGCGTCCCTGAGGGAACAGGTCAGCCTCCACGGCCCCCAGAACTGGAGCCACGTCGCCAAGGCCCTGAAGGGGCGCAACGGCAAGAGCTGCCGCCTCAGGTGCGCTCAGCCTGCCCCTTGCTACATTATCACAGCTAGAACCCACTGGTGTGGTGACAGTGGCGTGTGGTAGCAGGGCTGAGGTCGTGCATGACCTCAGCACTGCATTATGCTTATCAAGTCATGCATGCCGTCCGTGTGCATTCTATCTCAGAGCGTCCTTGAGCCTCGCGCCGCGGCGCGTGCGCGCACACGCACGATGTTCGCACGCTGAGCTGAGTTGCCGCCGCGCAACACTCTGTAGGTGGGTGAACCAGCTGGCGCCAGACCTGAAGCAGGAGAGCTTCACGCCAGAGGAGGACACCATCCTGCTGGAAGTGCGCGCGCGCGCGTGCGTGCGTGCGTGTGTGTGCAAGTGGATTGTCGTACGTGCAAGTGGGTTTGCACTGGCGCACGGTTGGACAGAATGCCGAAGTGGGGTGCAGGGGTGTCATGGCAGCTGATTGGCAGGGCGGGAGGGGGGTTTGGGATGCTGCAGGCGACCGAGGCTGTGAGCGCACGACCGAGGCTGTGGCGATTAACGCCGCGCGTCGTCGCAGCCAGATAGCCCCAGACGGCAGGGCCGTGCCTTGAGCGCGGCTTAGCTGCGCAGGGCACCCCACAATCTCATTCCCGCGCCCCAATGCCAACGCCCCCCATCCCACCGCCCTGCAGGCGCACAAAGTGCTCGGCAACAAATGGACGGGTGAGGCCGCCTTGCCACTCCGGCTTCGATCCCATGTGCTTGCCACAAAAATGCACACCCGCTGCCCCTGCAGCCCCCTCCCCTGCCAGGTGAATGCGGTCACCGGAACAAACGGTCACCCCCAGCATGCAACCTTCCAAAATTCCGTTCCACCCGCGCACAAAATGTGGCACTGAATCCCACTGTTCCTCGCAGCCATTGCCAAGCTGCTGCCCGGGCGCACAGACAACGCTATCAAGAACAGATGGCACGCCTGGCTCAAAAAGAAGTTCCCTCAGCAGGCGGCGGCGGTCGCCGCCGCGTCGGCCGCTGCGGGCGCCGCTGCGGGCGCCGCTGCGGCCGCCAAACCCTCGAACGCCGACATACGCGGCGGCGGCAAGGCGGGCAACGGTATCAAGAGGGCCGCATCGGGCCGCGCGGCGGCGAGTGAGCAGCAAAAGCCGCTCGTCGCTGCCGCCGCCGCACCGCCGCCGCCGCCTGAGAAGGGTATCCCGCAGCCGCCTGAGGTCACGGCGGCAGCGGCGGCCGCGGCGGTCGCGTCGCCCGCGCTGACGAGGCAGCTGGAGATCGAGCGCCAGCTGTTCAGCGCGCTGCGTGTGAAGGGCCATGCTGAGCTGGCGAGCCAGCTGGAGGCGCAAATGGTGCGGCCGACCCAGCCGCGGCTCCCGCCGCCAGAGCGGCGCGCGCGCCTGGCGCAGCTGCTGGAGGCGAGCGGGCACCAGGCGCTGGCGTCGGGGCTGCGCCAGTTTGCCGAGGGCGCGGCGAACGGGGTGCGGCCGAGCGCAGGGTACTGGGATGGCGGAGAGCAGGGCAGCAAGGCGGGGACCGCATCCTTGGAAGAGGCCAGCGCGTGCAGGTCGGGCCTGTTGGACGAGCGAGACATGGGGGCCGGCGGTAGCGCTACGGCCACAAGCGGCGACGCAACGGCCCAAATCAAGGCGCAGCTGCCGCCCGCAGCAGTGATGGCAGCGGCGCCGAGCTTGGCACCAAACAACAGGCATCAGCGACAGCAGCAGCGGGTGCGGTTGGCAATCCAGCGGCGGCAGCGGCAGCAGCAGCAGCAGCAGCAGCAACAGCAGCAGCAAGAGCCACAAGCACGACAGCAGCAGGGGCAGCTGGAGCAGCGGCAGCACAGGCATCAGCAGCTGCGGCAGCAGGAGCAGCAGGAGCTGCACGAGCAGCAGGAGCAGCAGGAGCTGCACGAGCAGCAGGAGCAGCAGGAGCAGCAGGAGCAGCAGGAGCAGCAGGAGCAGCAGGAGCAGCAGGAGCAGCAGGAGCAGCAGGAGCAGCAGGAGCAGCAGGAGCAGCAGGAGCGGAAGCAGCAGCAGCAACAGCAGCAGCCCCTGCAGCAGCAGCAGCAGCAGCAGCAGCAGCGCAGCGCCAGCGCCATAGGCAGCGTGGACTGTAGCTTGCTGTCGTTGTGCCCCCACAGTAACGCCGCATGTCTCGAAGATGAGGCCCTATCCGGCCCTATCGGTGACGCGTCTGCCTCCGCAGAAGGCACAGGGCACAAGAGCCTGCAGGCGGCACCAGGAGCCCCTGCTGCTGCAAGTGCGGCTGGCACTGTGGTGGCAGGTGAATGCACGGCAGTGGGTGAGTCGCGGGTAGCACTTCCGGTTGCTGTGGAGGCGCAGGGATACGGTGGTTCTCAGGCCTGGCAGCAGCAGCAGCAGCAGCAGCAGCAGCAGCTTGTGCTGTTCCAACCCCCCATGCCAGCACCGTGGTTCCCGGCGTTTGGCGGCGCCTGCTACGGCGGCACGCCCACATTCACCACCACCGACGCCGGCAGCTGCGGCCAGCTGAGCGACCTTGACTGCTTTGTCATGCAGCAGATTGCCGCATTCAACCCTGTAGCAGCTTGCCCGCATCCAGGTGAGCCTCGCGGCGTTGTCGGTGAACCCGGAAGACAGCAGCCTTGGAATGCACACTGAATTGTCACACGCCGGCGCGATAGAGCAGTCCCACGTTGGACTGGAAGCTCGCCCCAGTGCCCTTCGCGTGCGCCCTTACTCTGTATCAACGAGCCACTCGCACCATCTCTGCTACGGCCCACAGTCCCGGCAGCTCTGCCTGCGCCGCCTGCGGCCGCCCCTGGATGGGGAGCGAAGGGCCTGGTGCACCCAGGCAGCCAGGGGTGCTTTGTCCACCCAGGCGGCAAGGCGGCGTGGTCCAGCAGCGGGTGCAAGGCCTTTGCGGGCAAGGGGCTGGTGATGTTGCCGGGTGGCAAGGGCCTGGCTGTGCCGCCTGGGGGAAAGGGGCTGGTCTCGCACCCGGGTCTGATGTATGGCGCCACTCCAGTGATGGCGCCTGGCGCAGCATACGCGCAGGCCCATTCTTGCTGCTTCCACCCGGCAATGCAGCCCCTGCAGCAGCAGCAGCAGCACCAGCACCAGCACCAGCACCAGCACCAGCACCAGCACCACCAGCAGCAGCAGCACCAGCAGCAGCAGCACCAGCAGCACCAGCACCATCATCCCCAGCAGCAGCACCAGCAGCACCAGCAGCACCAGCAGCACCAGCAGCATTCCCGCAAGCGGCTCCTGCCTCCTGATAGCGGCGCGCTGCTCGAGCTTCCGTTTGGCCAGGCGCCGCTGGACGACAACCCAGACCGGCCGGGCTCGCCAATCCTTAATGTCCTACCCGGCTCAGTCGTCTCGCTGCAGACGCTGGGGGTCACCAGCGGCGTCACCAGCAGCGAGGCAGCGCCCGACGGCCCAGAGCCCCTTCAGCTTCCGGCTGCGGCGCCCGCGCACGCGGCAGCTACTGCCTGGGCGACGGCAGAGGCGTTGGTGGCGGCGGCGGCGGCGGCGGGTTCGGCGGCGGGTTCGGCGGCGGGCGCTGGCGCTCGAGAGCAAGGCAGGGTGGGTGAACAGGCCGTGCGCGCGGGCAGCAGTTTTCATGGGAGGGCGCATGGACGAGGATCAGGCCTGCCGGTGACGCGTCGCGTTCGCGGCTTGAGTGACACCAGCCGCATCCCTGACGGTGCCTGCGTTCTCGTGCTCACAAGCTTCTCTGCGCATGCAACCCCGAACAAAGGCGTTGAAACGGGTGCGCCTGGAACTCAACGGTGCCATTGGCGGCACGGCTGTTGAGAGGAGAGCGCTCCCGCTGCTCGGCTTTGGCAAGGGCGGCAAGGGCGCCCAGCCAGCGCACAAGCACGCCCCTGGCGCCGCCACTCTTGCGGCGGCGCCCCGCGTAGGCGCCGCCGGAGATGGCTGTGGCGGCGGCGGCGACGACGAGGAGCTGCCGGGTTCGTTCTTGGTTGGCAGCTTTGCGGGGTCGCTCGGGAACCTGCTGGGAAGCTTCGAGGGCTCGACGCTGTCAGCGGGGCAGCTCTTGGGCAGGCATGACTCGTTCGAAGCGGGGGCCGCGGCGGCGCGGGGCGGGCCGTCTGGGCTGTGACGCACGATGCCTCGCAAACGGCTGGCAAGGATGGTCCAGCATTATCGCAACCGCACTGCGCTTTGTGGCGTGATGCCAAAGGGTACTCTTCCTGTTGCATGAGGTTTCTGATTGATGGGCCCGAGTTGAGCGGGGGAAGGGCAGGACACCAAACGAAGGTGTGTCAATCGATTATGCCAGGTGGGCGCCCGCACTTCCCAAGTCATCACGCCAGTGTTGGCCCCTGGCGTCGTCACAGCCTCATCACCATGTTTCTGATTACTGGACTGTGCACTGTCTTCCCTGTTGAAGCAAACATGCGTGTGATGAGACAGATGAGGGTGCGCGCCTTGGTAAAGGAATTGAGCGCCTCGATCGCGCACTTCCAAACGGCGGGGGGAGGGGCCGGCAAGGTGCTGGCACGCGCAGCGACTGCATGCAGCGGAGGACACAGATTGGTTGTGCGGGGCGCATGCGTCGGTGTGCTGTGTGGGGGCCCTCAATTGAGTGATTAAGCAATTAATGATGAGGATCACTGATGTGGAAGGTATGTCGCTAGCTTTCGGGTACCGCGCCCGCTGGCGCGTGACAACCCAAAGTGTGATATTGCCGAGCCCGTTCTCTGAGGCCTGTGGGGGTCTGTAGCTGCCTAGGACGGTGACGAGGGTGGCTTTTGGGTTACTTTACCGACATCAAGTGCCAGGGCGGGCCTGGCGGGGCCGGACGCCTCCTAAATGTATTCTAGGGCAAAGGCATGTGATATTGTTACAACAGTTGCGGAAGCATGCCGGCAACCGCACTGGGGCCGTCAGAATGAAATGACCGCCCTCTGCCCTTGGGCGGGGGGGCTTAAATACAAACGGGGCGCGCGCGCAGCGCGCCGCGCTCGGGTGACGGGTGACAACAGGGAAAATCAGCTACACGCGCTGTTTATGAGCGTTTAGGCTCGTGCAATCAACAAGCAAGCATTTAATTTCGCTTTCCACCGGTTAGAAGCAGAGTTTGCGGCTAAACGGTGGCAAGGTCTGTGCTGGGCACATCGTCACTGATGCGCCACCCTCAAGGGCCGCAGCCGCAAGTGTTAGCCTGGGCAAACCAGGAGCAATTGGGGCGATCACACACTGTCAAATGCATCACGCAAAGTTACTTGTGGCACACGCCATGCGTCCACAGGTATTGTCAATTGGGGAGAGGGGACAATAATCCAGGTCGCGTGAGCAGTGCACTTGATTGCATGCGTGCTGGGCGTTGCGGCAAGGGTGCGTGGATGAGCGCGCGGGATAAGGATGGGAAACAGAGTGCGTGTGGTGAGGTGGGGGTGGGGAGGCGTCGCTGCATCGTGCGCCGTGCGCCGCGCAGTGCACTGCACTTCGCTGGCAGCGCAGGCGGATGGAAAGCCACAACAAGGATGTGGCGCAATGCTGGTGCGCCACAGTAATATGCTCTTGGATGTGCAATGCGCGCACCCCAATATATAAACTTGGATGTTGGCCGGGGAAAGCGGTAAATATGTGTTTCAGGCAGACGTACCGCGGAGGTCCAAGTGAGAGGCAGGGGGAACTCCAAGGATAGAGGGGGGCCTCCAAAAAATTTGTTCCCCAAAGCCCCACAAGGGGGCCCCCACAGCGTGGGAGGGGTCCTCATTGGGCGGGACCGTTGGTCGGGCCAAGCCAGAGGGGGCAACCCGTGTTCGAAGGCACATGGGCAAGGCCTGCAACGTCTTGCCGAACTCCTTGTCTTGAACCTGCGGTGCCCACAGGGAGTCCCCAATGCCTGTACAAGGGCACCCAAAGAGCATGCAGGATTGGCAGAGGTGCAGGGCTTCCATGTCATCCCATAACAGAGCTTGCCATACCTGTGGCGTCCAGCCAAACATGCTGAGAAGTATATGTTGAAGGCAGCTTGGTGTGATGGCATTAGTGCAGAGGCCTTGACTTGCCAAGCAGCATCTGCATACAAAGTACTGCTTGGCACAGAGGCGCCAAGCTATTCATTGGAAAATGAATAACGTCTAGAATAACAAATAAAATGTTGATACAATAATCAGTACGTCTAAACGCATGCGATCAACGGCTCAGTCGCGCTTTGACCAGATCACGCCACGATCAGAACAGGCGTAGAATAGCATGCACGACTCGCAAAACTTACTAAAAAACACCACATACCTTGTCAGTGCCAACTGTCTGGTCGATGGAGGCACTTCATGGGCTGAGAAACGCCGTCCACCTGTGGTCCTCTGCTTGCTGCTGAGAGGGAAGCCAGTGCCCGCACCGCGTTTCGCCGCGACTGCAGGCTGCGCCACAACCACAGGTTGTGCCGAGCTTGCGCCCCATGGATTTAGTACCTCTCAGTCGTTTCATGACGACACATACACATGCCTGGCAGCGCAGCAGCCGACACAGTATATGGCTCTGTCGTCGGTCCTTGCGCGAAGGGCACGGCCGGGTGCTTCATATCACAGTTAGCAGCAGGGACAGAGGCAACTACCTCGGCATATCTACCGTCTCGGTAGTCATTTGCATCGGACTGAATCAAGGTTATGACATCAACTTAGCTTGAACAGCAGGCTGTGTGAACTCGTACAGAGCGATTGGCGATCGCCCGGGCGTTCCTGCGAGGTCAAGCCAACCAGCACCACTGGCTGTGCGCTGCACCTTTTTAGTCCCAACAGCCTGCTCTGCTTGACAACGCATGGACAAGACCCAACTTGCTGCCGCAATCTCCTGTGCTGCGTCAGACACTAGAGTATCGCCCTGCACCGAGCCCCAGGCAATTTCCGTAGACCGCAAAAGAATGCAGCCCTGCCCATGCGGGGGCGGCCGTGTGAAATGTTGCCTCCTGAAATTTCTTGGAGTTAAGGTGTTCATTAGGAGGAGACCCGCCGCTGACCAGAGACCACCATTGCACGTGTGCATGCAGCACTGCCGAGCAAGGTTCATGTCAATGGCCAGTTGACCAGCTGTGCAGAGACTGGCCCTGCGCCGCGCAAGCATGCTGGCGAGTTGCAAAGCATTGTCGAAACAAGAAATCTAGGCTTCCCGTTGACGGCGCGCGGGGCGAACTTGGTGACAGTGCGAGACCGGTGTGACTCGCGCAGGCCCCACCGCTGTTGCTGTTGCATTCCCCGGACTATGCCCTGCACCAATTGCAGCGCGGGTAGGGCTTCGGTTTGTTAGAGAGGCACTCTTGCATGCATTGGCTCAACACCGGCCTCGTCCATCAGCGACTGCTGGCCGCGTGCTTAGCACACCTTTTCGGAGTTCCTTGATACCTCGCGTGCTTATCACTGCACGTCGACCCGGACCTACCGCTGCGCCTGCTCAAAGGGCGGGCGTTGCGGCGTGCGCTTATGGGGGCGCATAGCTCAGACGATGAGGGCTGGGAGGCGCTCCCCTCGGCGCGCGCCACTGCAGAGACATACGCAAACGAGGTGCAGCGCCAGCGGCGCGCCGCGGCACGCGACCACCGAATGCAGCATGCGCACCTGCTGGGGCAGCTCGCGCACGCCAACGGCGCGCCGCCGCCGAGCGCGCCGCCGGAGGACACCGCTTGCGCGCACGCGCCCGGCT